CAATTCTCTATTTCTCTTTAATACATAAATTTCCTACATCTATATAAGAGCCCCTCACCATTTTGTAATATATAACATACACAATCAATAATACATCAATTTATTTCTCTCTCTATCAATTTATTTTACATCCTCTATCTATTTATTTTAGCATGGTATCAGAGCTATAAGAGTTAGGCCTGTATTTAACTTCTCACTCTGGCCGGCAGCCGGCCGTGCAACTTTGCTTAGCTGCCCGCTGGAGGTTGTTCTACACTATGCCTTTATCATTACGATATTGACGGTGATTGGGATTCTCGGCATAGCTTGGGTTTTTGGTGACATGATCTTTGTGCTTGTTTACTGCACTGCGGGAATTTCTGGAGGACACATAAACCCAACAGTGACATTTGGGCTGTTCTTGGCTCGGAAAGTGTCGCTGATTCGAGCAGTGATGTACATGGTGGCTCACTGCTTGGGTGCCATATGCGGAGTTGCGCTTGTGAAGGCCTTCCAGAGCTCCTACTACGACGTCTACGGCGGCGGCGCGAACGAGCTCTCCACCGGCTTGGGCGCCGAGATCATCGGAACATTCGTGCTTGTCTACACCGTCTTCTCCGCCACCGATCCTAAGAGAAGCGCCAGAGACTCCCATGTCCCTGTATTGGCACCACTTCCAATTGGGTTTGCTGTGTTCATGGTTCACCTAGCCACCATTCCGGTCACCGGCACTGGCATCAACCCTGCTAGGAGCCTTGGAGCTGCTGTTATTTACAACCAAGAAAAGGCTTGGCATGACCATTGGATGTTTTGGGTAGGACCCTTCATTGGTGCAGCCATTGCAGCCTTCTACCACCAGTTCATCTTGAGAGCTGGAGCCATTAAAGCTCTCGGGTCATTCAGGAGCAGCTCCCATGTCTGATTTTTCAGAAAATTAAAAAAAAAAAAAAAAAAGAATAATATTGGAGGGGGGTGCATGAGTCTGTGATCTGGAAGTCTCTCTTTCACTCTCTTTCATAACAAGTCTTTAGACTCTTCTTCATTTGCAAAGCTTTTTGAAGAAGAGCAAATATACTAGAAACCATGCTGCTGGAAAAGGGTGTGCGCCTTGGCAATTTGATCTGATCTTCCAGTTTTGCTTCTTTATCACATATTGGAGCTTACTATACATCTCGGGCTGCATCTCCCCTCCAAGAAGCCTGTAAACCTTCTTCTTACAGTGATGATGAGTCCACGGATAGCCCCACTCCAAATCATAAAATATCACCATTATAAAATATCACCATTCCACAATTTTGAAGTGAATAGTGCTAGTGGGCCCTACCACTAGCAAAAACAATTTATAATAATAACCAACAGCTCACTCCTCAAAAGAAATTTATAATAATTTCTCTTTCTCACTTTACTTTTTCCCACCCACCAAAACCTAATCATCCTGCTGGCCATGTCTCTTCTCCTCCGTTTGATTTCAAACTCCATTATTTTTATTTATTTTCTCCAAACCACTTTCCTTATTTTCTCCATCTTTCATTTTGATTTCAAATATATTTTTTATTTCTTTCTTTATTTTTCTTTCACATTATTTTTAATCTTTTTCAAATTCCATTCATCCCATATAGCTTTGCACACCAACTCATATTTTATTCATCCCAGGGATCAACCCCGTTCACCATTTTACAAAAAAAAAAAAAAAAAAAAAAAAAAAAAAAAAAAAAAATTTTTAAAAAAAAAAAAAAAAAAAAAAAAAAAAAAACAAACAAACAAACACAAACAACCACACCCACAGTGGGATTTTTCTTATCCCTTCTCTACTCTGCCGCCGGTCTCTTCTTTTTTCCTCCGTCCTGGGCAGTCCTTAACGGTGCTGCCTCCGTGTTTCCCGCTCCACTGGGCACGATCACTCCACTCTGCTCCTCCCCTACAACGGTGGGCTTCCGCTTCAGCTCCTTGTTTTCTGCCTTTAGCACACTTATCTCTGCTCGCGCATCCTTATACATGCGTTGGAGCAGAGCCAGCTGGGAGTTTAACTGCTGCACCTCATTTGTCCTACTCTGCAGCCGGTGCGACAGATTTGTCACCGCCGTCATGGACTCCACACATGCCTTCAAAGTATACTGATTGGCCTCCACATCCGTCTGCACCGCCATTTTTTGCTCCACCGACTGCATCGGAAAGTTCAGCGGAGCAAACCCAGCGGTGTTTGGTTGAGGTTCACTGGCCACCGCACCAGTTCTCTCTCCTGTGGACTCGTTGAGGTCGGGAAAGAGGGTAAGCAGCCCGCGGGAAGACGAAGGGAAAGAGAGTGAGCAGACTCCGGGAAGACGAGGCCATTTTCTGGGCACAAAAGTATTACAGACTATCTCTCGCAACAGAGTGTTACAGAATCTCTCTCAGCACTCTCTCTCAGAATATCTCACGCAGCTTTTCTCTGCTTCAGCCTCAGCCTCCGTTTTCTCTGCCTCAGCCTCAGCCTCTGTTAAATAGCCGAGGCAGCCACGCGCATCGCACGCCTCTTCTCGCCGACAAACTGGCACGCCTTTTCATGGCTCGCCTTTTGATGCATTCGGACCCGCCTTTTGATGGCACGCCTTTTGACCGACATTGATTCCGGTTAGCTCCTTTATGGGTTCGACAAGACTCTGTAAACTGTCCCGACATTGATTCCGGTTAGCTCCTTTATGGGTCCGATAAGACTCTATAAACTGTCTCGACATTGATTCCGGTTAGTTTCTACAAGGGTCCAGCAAGACTCTGTAAACTTTCACAACAACTGTCAGAACATTGTCTGCTACAACGGTCCGACATGACCCCATAAACTGTCTTCTACATCGGTCTGACACCGCCATCCAGTATGTCTTCTACAACGGTCCGACATGACCCCATAAAATGTCTTCTACAACGGTCCGACATGACCCCATAAAATGTCTTCTACAACGGTCCGACATGACCCCATAAAATGTCTTCTACAACGGTCCGACATGACCCCATAAAATGTCTTCTACAACGGTCCGACATGACCCCATAAAATGTCTTCTACAACGGTCCGACATGACCCCATAAAATGTCTTCTACAACGGTCCGACATGACCCCATAAACTGTCTTCTACAACGGTCCGACACGACCCCATAACACTCACCCTCTTCTATATATAGGAATCATGAATCATTGTAATATATATCAAAATATATCAATCAATAATATACATCAATTTATTTTACACGATATAATGGCAGTACTGAGCCCTTGAGTTTGCGGGGGCTGTTAAAACCTACCATCACCTACTACACCTACCACCACCTACTACCACCTACTACACACCTACCACTACCACCTACTACCACCTACTCCACTACATCTCCTATATAAGGATCCCCTCACCATTTGTAATTAATAACACAAATCATTCAATAATACATACAATTTATTCTCTCTCTATCAATTTATTTTTACAGAAAATTCAACTAGTGTCCTGAACAAAATATGAAAAACTACGTGTCACTACTAATTCCAAAAATATTAAAAATAATAATAAACTAAGTAACCCCAAGCTAAAGTGCATTAACACAGCTCAATCTGACTCACCATTACTATTAAATAATATCTAAGTTCATGTTCTTCAAGGTCTCAAATTATTGAAGACATCAACATTTTAAACAAGTTTTCAAAATTTATTCGCTAACTTTGAAAATTAAAAACCCACTCCACGCCATTCGAAAAATTCCAAAACCCTCCAAATATCAACTAATATATCCTAAGTTTCAAACCCAATTAGTTTCACTCGATTTCCTTATCAAAAGAATTAGTTACAATTAACTATACCCAAATAGGTCATTTTCTGTAGCACTTTAAAGAGATTAATGGTTCTCTTAATATACACGAGCAATCAGCGCAAGACCAAAAATGCAAGATACTAGACTCATAATCGGTTCTAATGACATTGATTTGATAATTTTCAGATTTATATCGAAAGAGAACTGTATTTTTAAAGTCAACAGTTTGTGCAGATTTGTTTTTGAAAATATAAACTACACCCATTATTAAGGTACCAATTTGTAAGAAAAATTGATATAGAGAGAAATTGTATGTATTATGATTGATGTTATTGATATCTATTACAATGATTCATGATTCCTATATATAGAAGAGGGTGAGTGTGTAGTAGGTAAGGAGTAGGTGAAGTGGAGGTGGTAGTGGTGTAGTGGGTTAGGTTTAGTGGAGTAGGTGAGATGGTAGTGGTGTAGTGGGTTAGGTTTAGTGGAGTAGGTGAGATGGTAGTGGTGTAGTGGGTTAGGTTTAGTGGAGTAGGTGAGATGGTAGTGGTGTAGTGGGTTAGGTTTAGTGGAGTAGGTGAGATGGTAGTGGTGTAGTGGGTTAGGTTTAGTGGAGTAGGTGAGATGGTAGTGGTGTAGTGGGTTAGGTTTAGTGGAGTAGGTGAGATGGTAGTGGTGTAGTGGGTTAGGTTTAGTGGAGTAGGTGAGATGGTAGTGGTGTAGTGGGTTAGGTTTAGTGGAGTAGGTGAGATGGTAGTGGTGTAGTGGGTTAGGTTTAGTGGAGTAGGTGAGATGGTAGTGGTGTAGTGGGTTAGGTTTAGTGGAGTAGGTGAGATGGTAGTGGTGTAGTGGGTTAGGTTTAGTGGAGTAGGTGAGATGGTAGTGGTGTAGTGGGTTAGGTTTAGTGGAGTAGGTGAGATGGTAGTGGTGTAGTGGGTTAGGTTTAGTGGAGTAGGTGAGATGGTAGTGGTGTAGTGGGTTAGGTTTAGTGGAGTAGGTGAGATGGTAGTGGTGTAGTGGGTTAGGTTTAGTGGAGTAGGTGAGATGGTAGTGGTGTAGTGGGTTAGGTTTAGTGGAGTAGGTGACGACTTCGCAGGCTCGAGTTCAACTTCGATCGACAACGTCTGGGCTTCGCAGATCGACTCTCTCCCCTTCTCCTTCTTCTTCGATCGGCTTCGCAGGTTCTCTGTTTTTTTTTTTCTTTTCTTTTACCTTCGTTGAAGGTGATCTGTTTTTATTTTTTATTTTTTATTTTTTTTTCTTTTCTTTTCTTTTGATTATGATAAATAAATAAATAATTTTTTTTTTCAATTATTTGACTTTCATAACCCTGATTATTACATAAACAAATAAATAAATTAATTAATTCATACATACATACATAAATAAAAAAATAGATATATTACATTTATTATGATTATATTATACTGAAATTGATTCATCATTATACTGAAATTAATTAATTCACCATTAATTAAAAAAATTGAAAATTGATTCATAACATTAATTAATTCATACATTACATACATTAAATTACATACATTATATTATACATTAATTATTAATAGAAAATTGAATGTAACATAATTCACCATTAATTAAAAAAATTGAAAATTGATTCATAACATTAATTAATTCATACATTACATACATTAAATTACATACATTATATTATACATTAATAGAAAATTGAATGTAACATAGGAATAAATGTAATGGAATGTAATGTACATTAATTAATTAATTAAAAAAAATAGAAAATTGATTCATACATTACATTCATTAATTAATTCATCACATAACATGCATTACATTCATTATACTGAAATTATTTTTTTGTTATTTATTTTTTGTGTTGTGTAGTAAGTACTAAGTAGAAAATGACATCGGAAAGTAATAGAAAAGATCCGGCATGGCAATATGTCCATTTGGTAGAGGAGAATAATTTAAACAAGTTCGAGTGTAATTTTTGTGGTAAAGTATCAAATGGAGGTGTTTATAGGGTGAAACAACACCTTGCGGGAGGTTATAGGAATGTCACTGCTTGCCCGAAGTGTCCTTCTCATGTAAGAGAAGAAATTAGAGAGTTCATGTAAAAAAAAAAGACACAAAAAGAAGAAATGAACATGTTGCCTGATTTCGATGACATGGTCATGGAAAATGAAGATGAAGATGATGATGTC